GTGTCCATAATAATGACCACATCATGTACTATTTAATTATATCATGCTAATTTAATTAAAATATTAATTCTAATAGATTTTATATGATATGAAATAAATATTATTTATGAAAAATATGAGATGAAATAAATAATTGAAGTTTTTATGTAACATATTAACCGGTCATAATATAAAATCACTTCAAAGGTGATAATACATTTTGGAGTAACCACCAAATAGTCAAAACTTCTTAATAATAATTATTATTAAAAAATTATAATAACAACAAAATTTCTATTCACAATTATTTTGTTGAAAAGCTAGATCATAGTTTAATAATCATGTCGAGGATGTAAGTACGGTGAGGTTTGTACTCTACGTGCAAAGCATGGGGAAAAATAATGTTGTCAAAGGCCAATTTGTCCGTACTAGCAAATAAAAAAAAAGAAAAAAAAAAGAGTTGATTATAATGTTATTGCAATTTTTATTTGATACACCATGCCCCTATTTTTGTCTTACATTATTTTTACATTAAAATGAGTTTTTTGACAGCCTGATTTGTGGGTCCCACCATAAAAAGATTTTGGTCGAAGGCAAAAATGGTGGCTAAATCCCCTATTTCAAGTTTTCAACGATCACATTTTTTACTTAAAATGCCAAACAAACAGGGGCCATATTTTAATTAAAATTAAAATCCTCAATTTTTACTTATTGTACCAATTATTTGGTTGATTTGTTTTTTTGTCGAATTATTATCTTCAACCTTCTATTAATTAGTACGTCACGTTCTTAATGATTATTTATCTCAAAATATTTTTTTCATGCTTTCAAATGAGGGAAAAGTATTTTTTCGCACTTTTTATTTATTTATTTTTTAAAAATATAATGAAAAAATAATTTATTTTACGTCATTTCAACGGACTTTTACCTTTTGAACATAAAATTATTATCAAATACAAAATGTGCTAATTAATGAAAAGTTTAAGAATGGCATAGAAAATTGTTAGGGTAATGAGCAAAGATTAAGAACCTTGGGTGCAATTAAAAGTGATGAAAGAAACATAAATTATGGTGTGAATATAATTTTTTTAAAAAATTTTAATGCAAAATAATTGTCAAGTTTCTATAGTTTTAATCGGTTAATAAAGGGAATGTTATTGTCATTTAATTTAAATTTATTTTCATCAATAATTAAAGTTGATAGTATTGTCATCCACACATTTATTAAATGAGAATATATTATTTAATGACTTCTAATTGTCATTCAGATATGTGTTAAACACTAATGTTCTGTTTGATTGCAGCGAATTCCATGAAAAATGTCATATCTGAGGAAAATGATTTCCAGGTTGGCCGTTTGATTGCAACGTGAAAATGGAAATCGAATTCCAATGTACAACCACTTGAAACTGCATTTTCTTTATTTTTATGAAAAACGAATTCTCCTGGGTTTGATGAGTTTTTATTTTTCAACTAGCATGAAATTGAAATTCATTCCACATTTGCCTATCAAACGGACCCTAATAGTGCTAAATAACATTATTCAAGTAAGATTGTACAAACCTCGACCAATAAAATGGAGAACCAAATTACAAATTGGTCAAGTTACTTGCAAAAGATGGTAAACCATTTAAGAATTACCTACTCGATTTTTATTTTTCAATCTTTTATCATTTTCAAGTCAATCGAAGTAACCAAAAAGACAAGAACGGCGTCGTTGGATCCTTTGAAATGAAGCAATAATAAAGAGAGAGAAATAATGAAACGGAGGTGGAAAAAGGCAGTAAGAGGTCATTTTCAAGAAAGCGAAAGGGGCGGGGATCTGTCCCTGTGTACCCACATCTCCTTACCTCTATAATCAATTGCTCTAACCATTGACTAAATAATTAAAAAAATGGTGCTG